GAGAGAGAGAGAGAACAAAATCATGGATATGGTGTGAGAAACATGTGGTGGGTGTGATTGGAATCCATTGTTAACTGCTCTTCTAATTATTTTCTGCCAATATAATATCTTTAATTATTCAGTTTTGATGAGATTTCATGCCATCACCTTATGATCTCATGATCCCAAAAGATTTCAGAGAAACAAGAACAATAATTTAAATCTAGATTCAATTTTATATACACGGAAAATGTGAGCCAAGATGATGATCTTATAATTAGTAATCTTCTCAGTGATTTATGGAAATCGGAATTGCTATCCCTCCACAAAGATTTTAGTGTAATATATTAAGACTTATCACAAATACATCTATTCAGAAAAGTCAGATTGACAATTACTAATCAAGTCTATCAGTTATTAGAATGATTTAAAATTATAAACAAAAAATAAAAACACTTGGAATATCTTGATTCTTATCATCATGAATTTATGGAAGACATTAATGTTATTTTACTAGGAAAATGATTCATCAAGTAAAAATAAACATGATGTGTCAATCTCTCCAACTTATCTTAAGTGGAAGTTTCAAATCCTCAACCACTAATTGGCTAGTTTACACTGTCAAACTAATATTTTAGCTATAAATAAAGAATAAAAATCATATTTTTTTTGTCCAAATATTTATATAAAGGTTAAACTTAAATTATAACACACACACACATATATATATATATATATATATATATATATATATATATATATATATATATATATATATATATACTTATTATATTTGATAATTTTTTTTTAAAAAAAATCTTTTTAGGGCTTTTCTATATGATCCCTCATTTTCAAAATTTTCTTTTGGTGCCTATGTTTTTCGTCTAATATCTTAATTATCTTTATCACTATCGATTATCGTCTCTACCTGATGAGATTTCATTATGATCGCTTCCTTTTCTTATGAGGCTCGTCATTTTTGTTTCGTCGCAAAGCTCTACTTAATTATATGAGTTGATACGACGGAGGTAACTACGATAACGTAGAAGCTAATGATAAAAAATATTTAGGATATTAAAAAATATAATAAAAAATAAAAAATAAAAATAAAAGACTTTGAATATTGGCCTATGTATAGGAAATATGTGTATAAACAAATCTCTCTCTCCAACGGCTACCAAAGGGAGATGCTACCTTCGTTGACCAAATACTTCAAGTCCGACCTCCGAACCCTCTCCCTCCTCCGCCACCCCCGCCTCTCCATGCGCGAAGCCAAGCGAATCCACGCCCACCTCCTCGTCTCCGGCACCATCTCCGACCCCTACGCCGCCGGCAAGCTCGTCGCCTTCTGCGCCGTCTCCGACCGCGGCGACCTCGACTACGCGGGCCTCGTCTTCCGCTGCCTCCCCTGCCGCTCCGCGTTCCTCTGGAACACCATGATCCGAGCCCACGTCGAGAGGGGGCGTCCCGCCGACGCCCTCCGCCTTTATTACCAGATGTTTGCCGCCGGCTTCCTGCCCAACAACTACACCTTCTCGTTCCTGCTCCGCGCCTGCCTCGACCGCGATTCCTTGTCGGACGGCCGCAAGTTCCACGCCATGATCGTTGGGCTGGGTTGGGAGTCGTACGATTTCGTTCAGAACGGGCTGATTCATATGTACTCTTATTGCGGCTGCGTCGACTCCGCCCGCAAGCTGTTCGACTGTAGCTCCAACAGAGACGTCATTTCGTGGACTGCGATGATTAACGGGTACGCTAAGTTGGGAAAATTGGATGCTGCTCGCGAGCTGTTCGATCGGATGCCTGAAAGAAATGCAGTTTCTTGGAGTGCTATGATCACTATGTATGCCCAATTCGGGAGATTCAAAGAAGCGCTGGAAGTCTTCAGCGAGATGCAGCTTGCCAGGGTTCAGCCTAATCATGCGGGCATCGTTGGTGCTCTGTCCGCCTGCGGTTCTCTCGGGGCTTTGGACCAGGGGAAGTGGATTCATGTGTTTGCAGAAAGGAATGGAATGGAGTTGGACAAAATCCTAGGAACTGCATTGATCGATATGTATGCCAAATGCGGATGTGTCAATAATGCCTTGGAAGTCTTTCATTCGATGCCCGAGAGAGATGTGTATGCATACACAGCAATGATCTCAGGTTTATCGAACAGTAGGCACATCGAGGAGGCGATGGATCTATTCAGCAGAATGGAAGAGGAAGGAGTGAGGCCGAACGAGGTCACTTTTATCTGTGTCCTAAGTGCATGTGGACGAATGGGTCTGGTAGACAGAGGGAGGGAGATCTTTGAGAGTATGGAGGGGGTCTACAAGATCAAGCCAGGAGTAGAGCACCATGGGTGCTTGGTGGATCTCTTGGGCAGAGCAGGACGCGTCGAGGAAGCAAAGAAGGTGGTGAGAGAGATGCCTATGGAGCCAGACTCATATGTGTTGGGTGCCTTGTTAAATGCGTGTAGCATGCATGGAGAGGCAGAACTAGGGAGGGAAACTGTCGAGAGCTTAAAGAAGCTGGGCCTTGATCACAGTGGAGTGCATGTGTTGATGTCAAACATGTGTGCCTCAGCTGATAGGTGGGAGGATGTTGCTAGGGTGAGGAGGGAAATGGAGATGAGGAAGGTGATGAAAGTGCCAGGTTGTAGCATGATTGAGGTCGATGGTGTAGCTTGTGAATTTATTGCCGGAGACAGATCTCACGCACAGATGAAGGAAATTTTGGTGGCGATAAAGCGGATCGACATGCAACTTCGGTCTTTTGGTGATGATACTTTTGCGATAGAATTTGAACAGAATCCTTAGATCATAGGAGTTTACTGCTTGCAACTGTGTGGAGTTACACTGCCTCCTATCGCCGGTGTTGATTGAAGTTAATATCTGTTGCCTCCCGGTAATTTCCAGGCAAAACTAATTGTCAGTTGACTGAGGTGGCATGTGGGAGTTGAAAGGTGGTGCTAAAGAGGTAATTAGTTCCTTACTTGTTTACATGTTAATATCATCCATGACATCTAAGTGTTATTTTGTAGAAGATGTCAAAAAAAAAAAAAAAAAAAAGCTGAAAGCTCTAAAAGAGGATGCATCTCTAAAAGATTTTCAAAATGCTGAAAATAATAAAATTAAATATTAATAGCAATCATTTATATGCATTCCTACATTAGTGTGTTTGTAGTCCTTGTGCTTCCTTGTTTCTTTAGTTTTTGTTTTAAGAAAATTAAACAAGAAACAAGACATTCCCGCATTGACTTGAAGAACATGAGATCTATCAATTGCGCAACAACACACTAACCACTATGGTATATGTTTCTTTAGGTTTTTCCATTTGTGTTATGCTTCCAATTACCTACTTAGAGAATGTTACATACTTGGAACTCTTATATTTATCTTCAAAAGAGAGAAGATTTTTTTTATTGATAGTCTTGGTTTGAGTTTGACTATCGATATTGTTCTTATGTAGGCAACCCCAAATTGTTGGAGGTTGTATTCTCTTTTAAGCCTGACAAATTTACTGAACAAGAAAAGTGATGCTTTACAGGAGATAGCTGTACAGCAGATGCACAACCAGGATCACAAACAAGAACTTTTATTGACGGGGATGACCTGATCGATGATCTAACAAGTCTTGATACGTAAAATGGTTTTGTTTCAAGTGGTTGCAAGTTCATGAGGACCAATTTGTGGCAGTACCACATCTGTGGAGGCATGTGAATCCCATGGATTACCAACCCAATTTTGGGAATGGTGTCATCGATCAATCAAAATCCGAAGAATCGCTGCAGCAGCGTAATTGCCTTGTCAGCTAAAAGAAGAAGAAGAAGAAGGTAAGACAAATTCTGTTCTTCTAAAGAACATCCCTCTTTTGAAACACTTGTGGAAAACCTCCAACAATACACCCAATTGTTTCTTTTTTGTTCTTTTGCATCACAGAGTGAATTCACAACATGTGTTTTTCTGATGGCAACTAGCCGCATAGGAGTTCATTCCCTGAGGATTCCAGTCCAGATGATGGAAACTTCATGGGGGGGGTTCTGAGAGGAGGAAGAGATCCAGCGGAGGGGCAAGAAGGTATTACATCCATGAACACTGCTTAATTGTTCTTCCTCATTTGCCCCATGGTTGGAACTCGGATATCTCTCGTTGGAGTTGCATGCTTTGACCATTGGAAATATATCAATTTTTGGATGACATATATAGTTAGTTCCTTATGTTTTTTTTTAAATAAAATAATTCTAGTGCTATTTACCTGTAAAATTTTGATACGTTCCAAATGCCATTGTTACTTGTTAAATTAAGAAACATCTATAATTGCGTGCAATTAATAGTTACAGACAAGCAAATGTAAGACCATTAGATTGGTTGCATGCATCCACTAGCAGACAACCCAACACCACTTTAGCTGAATCAGCCTTATAATTATCATTACCTTCCCTGTGTTGTAAATAAAAATGATTAACCAATAAATTATTGAGAAAAACTTGAACAACAAACGAGAAATTAGTAGTTGAATTTTCTAGCAAAAAAATAGCATCTGCTCATATATATATATATATATATATAAAAGCAGGTTCTTTTGGACAGAGGTAATTCAATACAAGAAAATTGCAGGTAAGTGTATCCTTACAGTGGGGTAAATTGAATTACATCATATATAACAATATATGGTTAAATCATACCAAAATTTGGTCAGGCCTGATGGTCCGTCCATGGATTAGAGAGTCCATATCAGGTGATGGTAGCGAGGTTGCACCTGATAATTCGGCATTTCTCTGAGCTCAGAGTTGCCAATCTATGGGAGAAAGGTTAAGTTTCTCCAGTATCTGATTCGTCTGAGAGAAATGCCTGAAACGGAAGAGCCAAGCATCAGAGGAGCCTTAAGTTGATTGAAACTTTGACTGCAAGTATGAGGATGGCTATCTCTAAACCAGTAATATGAGAAAAGCTATCTGAGCAGATGCATTACAAATTATACGGCGCAATTAAGCATAATTGCAGATGACAGACTGATTGACAAATGAATATATATACTATGTAGCAAGAGGAGAATAGCAACTACTGCATGTGAACCATTGGTATTGAGCATTGGAAGAGAAAGCCAGAGAGTACATATGACTAGAAACAATGCAGCCTCACAAGGTAAAAGAAAGGACCACTGAACTGCGATTAGTTAAGGACAAAAGAAAAACCTGTGCAATCAGAAGTGTAGTGTTAGATCAAATCATCATAAGGTCCTAATTTGAGGTTAGATCCAATACATGGCGAGGCAGCCTGGTTCATCAGGACCTCGTCGATACATGATCTTAGGAGCACAAGTAGAGAGCTTATTTCCATGACTTTAGATCTTGATTATGGTAAAGGAGTAACTTTATATGCATTAGCCAAGCAAAAGTAGATCACCAAATATAAATACAAATAGAGTTAACAAGCAGCAAAGTTGCAACTGACAAGGATTTAAAATAATTAAGAAAGTGTACGTCCATCTTCTGAAAATTAGCAAATTCAAACTTGAGTACTGATTGGTTTATGAAAAGAATATCCTTGAAATATCTCAGAATCTGGTGTAGCATATGAAGGAATTGATTAAATTTGTTAACATTTGTAGCTACGAGGACAAACCTGCATCCGAAGAACCCTCTGTTGGCTGAAAGACCAGATGGATGAGCTGCTCTTAGGATATGATGCTTTGACTCGTCGATCAATCTGCAATTAGAAATGCAAATTGAATTCCAAACAAAATAAGCAGATATTCATGAGTATTAATCAACAATCAAAATGAAGTTAGTCAAAGGAATTCTTTATTTAATCAATAGGTAACAGGTAACAATTCATTTTTTGTATGATACAAACCACAATCTATTTTCATTCACCTAGAAAACAAGATCTATTAGGACACCCGCTGTTCGATGATTTTTAAGTTAAAGGTTTTAATCAACTTTCCTGCTTTTATGGAAGATGATGGTCTGATTATAGAAATTGAGTAGTGAATAGACAAACCTTGATTTTGCTTGCGCAGAATTCCCCCAGAGGAGGAAAACAACTCCTGTTTTCTTCTGTGAAATTGTTTGAATAATAGCATCAGTAAACGGCTCCCATCCTTTTTTAGCATGTGAATTAGCCTGATGTTTCCTAACTGATGAAGTCAAAAATACAAAATAATTATCCAGTACCATGAAGAACACCATATTAGCAAACAAAGCTGATTTCTAGACCACTGACGGTCGGATAATCTAACTAAACAAAAAACTAACATTGTTATCATCACAAATGAACATGGATTTCCTTGCCATAATGAAGTTTTCACCAATGAACTTGACATCCAAAAATCTAATAAAGAAATATGCATACCGGTGAGGACAGCATTCAGCAGAAGAACCCCCTGCATGAATATTATGTCAGTTGAAAGTCGACAGGAGTTCAGTAAACAATCAACTCTTAAAATTGTTGAACAATTACATGAGGGCAACCAACCTCAGAGTTTAGTTGCAATAATCATCTAAGGGTATGACAGGTGACACTAACTAGCTAGTCACACTAACTAGCTAGTTGATAAGATGAACTGTGTGCAATTTTTCATACACATATTGCTACTTACTTGAGCAAATTTGATCCATACATAAGAATAGTTAGCTTGTGCATGCATAACATACTCTCATTTGATCCATTGTCATCGACAGAATTCTAAATCAGCTCAAATTAACCAATGTGCCTTTAAGCTTGTGACATCTCTAGAACCCTGGTTGCCCAAGTTGCAAAGGAGCAACTGTAATGAATCATGAATTCACTTCACTAGTTGTCTTCACAGGTTTCATCATCAGTGCAAGACATTGCTCGATATTAAACTATGTCCAAGAAGAACAAAGATATAAAGAATAAATTCACTATAGATCAAACTTATTTACCTGCACAGCCCATCTCTCTAAATTTCCATGCGATGGCAAAGAACACCCAACATCCTCCCTGAGCTCCTTAAATATGTTGACTAAACTGGAAGGAACCTTGATACCCTCCGGCACCGAGAAAGCAAGACCCATGGCTTGACCAGGTCCATGATAAGGATCCTGTGGAACAAAGATACACAAACTGTGATCTTTAAAGGATGTCCTAATTCACCATATTTTGTGCCTTACGAGTATCTTAAATTGAGTGATCCAATCCATAGTTTGGAACTTGAATCTCCTTGGATCGTCCACACAATGTTACATTTCAATTATCTAAACCTGTATGAAGTAATGTGGAATTGCAGAGTTCATAAAAGCTTTCACAAGCTGCTCTGTCCTGCTACATACCTGCCCAATGATCACTGCCTTCACTTGATGGAAAGGCGTCCGGTGGAGAGCATCGAATATAAGGTGCGGCGGAGGGTAGATCGGGACGCTCCCACGCATCTCCCTCTCCACGAACCTGCACAGGTTCTTCGCGTACGGTTTCTGGAGCTCCCCCTCGAGAGCCTCCAACCACGTCTCCTCCACCAAAAGCTCCTCCAGCTTCGCGTACTCCATCTTTTCGGCTGAATCTACCATCATCGGACGCTGTCAAAGTAGAGAGCAAAGAGAGATCACCTAAAGGTCCGTGGCATACCTCTCGATTTCTCGATTATGTCGGTGCAGATCCGGAGGTCCCGCTTCGATCGCGCCAGGGCTTTGTTGGTCTCGGTCGTCTTCTTCTGCTCGGGAGTCCGGGCAGAGAAGGAGGACTTGGAGATCTGGATTTTGGTCGAGGGGGAGAGGGGACGGAGGAGCTCCGCTAGGGTTTTGGCGGAGGCGGCCATTTCTTCTCCCCTCGAGTGCCTACGCACAGTCGCGACTCGTGTCGTGTCTTTTTGGCGGGACCGCCAAAGTCCGTGCCTTCGCATTTGGGTCGAGCTCAGGTCAGACCGAGTCGAGATGGCTTGTTTGAATTGCTAATGCAATTAAATATACGTACACCATTAATGGTTTTTGAGATAATATAATTTTCAAACCAGCTTGCCGTATTCTGGCGGTCTCCGTCGTCATGCGTCGCACGATTCTGTTGAAGCGTGCGGGCAACCACGTTCTCATGGTTTGGTCTGCACACAGACAAACCAGACATTATGACGAACGGGTTGGGGGCATCGACCGTCCATCCCGCGATGGCGACCGCCGCTCCCTTTGCGTGACATCCACGCAAGAAGAATCTTGTGTGAGGACTCGGAACACCCGCCCCTCCTTTAATTTAACCTCAATTATTGGTGGTCCTGTTTCCCGCACCTTATCTTCCTCACGCGTCCACTGCACGTGTCGGCATCTGGTATACGTCGCTGTCATGTGAGCTGTGGATGTGCGTGTGGAAAACGGCGTTGACCCAACCACCGGTCGACCATACCCACTAAAATACTCTCTGGTTTAGTTTGACACGTTCGTCGTGGTTGGCGCCGTGTGGGTGCCGGCATCCCACCGCAAGACCGTCGACTAGACCAAACTTGGACCGGCGAATTGGTTCGATCGACGATCAACTTGATCGAAGTTATGGTTATTTCGATCAATGAATTGATTAAGTGCGATTCAAGAACACAATTAACCGAGGGATAAATGTCTATTTGAATCGACCAAATCGCGCTACAGATGTGCCATCCATTTGAATTCCTTTTTGCCACCAGAGATACAGCAGTTTATACACCCCATTTGTATTCTGTGCACCCTTTTCCTACGAAAACTTCCATGTTTGCCCTCCGTTCCCACATCTATTTACATCCCGCGGGACCGGCACGGAAGCCATGTAACGCCGTGTTCCTCAACGCCAACGCGGAACGGAAAAGCTCGTTGACGGCGCCTGATAAGGCGTCCAACGACTCCGTCAACTCGCCTGTCGCTTTCTCCGTCGCTTCGACCGCTTTCCGTAAGCTTTCGGCGTCGTCTCCGTCACCGTTTGATCGGATCCCATCCATGACGTCCGTCATCTTTTTGACCGCGGATTCCACCGCCTTCAACTCGGCGGGGGCGCGGTCGCCGGCTAGCTTGTGGGAGACCGCCGCGGCCACCTTGCGGTATTCGCTCGCCCACGGGAGGTCGGCGGGGACGAGAGCGGCGACGTCCCCGCCGCCGAGGGCGGACGCGAGGACGCCGGATAGCAGGAAGGAGACGGCCTCCACGGCGTAGATCGCCCTACGGACGGCGGAGAGCTTGCCACGGGAGGGCTGGGCGGGCGCGAGGGACCGGGCCAAGTCGCCGGTCGGGCGGGGAGAGGAGCTCCGCCACTCGGCCAAGGAGCCCCTCGCCCGGCTTAGCTTCTCCGGGTTCCGGCCCTCGTCGGAAGAGGAGAGGAGGTGGAGGGCGAAGCGGAGGTGGAGGCGACGGCGGAGGAGGCGGTCGACCTCGGCGGAGGCGGCGTTGCAGGCGTCGAGAAGGGCGACGCCGGAGTCGAGGTATGCGGCGACGGCGTCGCGGTCGGAGGAGGAGGTGGCGTCAGGGAGCAAGGCGGCGGCATCGGAGAGGGTGAGGGCGAGGAGACGCACGGCGCGGGCGAGCCAGGAGAGGGCGAGGGACGGGGAGGAGTCGGGGAGGGGGAGGAGCGAGAGGAGGCGGGCGGCGAGGGCGTCCTCGAAGGGTCGTGCCAAGGAGGCAGGCGGAGATTTGGGGGGAGAAGAGGGGAGGAAAGGGAAACGGTGAAGCGAGTTCTTCTGCACAAGAAACATGGTTGGTAGTCGTAGATCTTTTGGGCTTCCGCCGGTGCGGACTCTTTGTGATGGATGGACGCTAATGGTTTGGGATGTTGGCAAATATAGTGGGAGAGGAGAGAGGAAAGTGATGCCGAGTCCAGACAAGGGCGGAAGAAGAGAGGAAACAGACTGACGAGGGTGGATGTGACAGGGGAACCACCCCGCTCGAGACGGGTCCCACACGAAAGGGAGATGAAGCGGATGATGCCTTGTCCAAATCCCAAAGGGTAAGAGTCGTAGCTCGAATCGTGCTCAAAGGAGGGACGAGAGGATGATGTCATGGTCTGTCCGAGCCGTTCGTACACGCAAACTTGGCTGGAGACACGGGACCCGCGCGGGGCCCACGTACTATGCGAATCAACGCGCAGGCAGGCAGGCAGGCCGGTTGAGGTCAATAATGGTAAGCAAAGGGTAGGGATGGAGGCTGATGAAAGATGCTAATGGCACCACCCAAACATGACCGAGTGTTGGGTGTGGGAAAGTCTAAGTTGAGATGGCACGGATTAAAAGTCCTCCAAGTTGGGCAAGTTGGGAGGAACGATCAAAGCAATGGCGTTGGAAAGCCGCAAAGCCCGACGGGACGACACAGTGTACGCATGCTACTGTTAAGAAGAGGAAGCGTGTTTGTTTGGACCAAAGCCATTCCAACTCAAAAAGGTCTTATCCACGAGTGGGTGGCGTGAGATGCAACAAAGTGCAAAAACATTATATATATATATATATATATATAAACAATAAAAATATGGCATTATCCTAGAAAAGATCTTTTTTTCAGATTTGTTAGCGAGGTTTGTATTGAAATTTTTTTTTGTTATTTATAACCCTATTTTAAGATGTTTTACTATTTATTTATTTATTTTACTATTGACAAGCTGCTTATTGTTGATAATCTCATTTAAAATAATGATATATTTATTTATTTTATTTATAATATCATATTTATTGATTTTATCATTTTTTTCTCTTTTCCATAATCTCTTGTTTCATACTCACTATATATGTCATCTCTTGCCGACCCTACTTACTATAGACATCACTTGCTGTTGTCTCTAATGCCTCTCTACTTATTGTCACTATCATCTATGCTTATTGTAAGTGTTGGTGAAGGTGATGTTGCTCATCTAGTTTTCATTTACTATCAATTTTGTTCAACTCTACTCGTTGCCCCCTCGATGTTGTCTTTAAGAAGGAAGAAGAAAAGGATGAGGAAGAAGAGAAAGAAAAAAAATAATATTTATATCCATTTATAAATAGATAGTTTTAAAATATTAATATTTTTTAAGATTATATTATAAATAGTAAAATGAGAGGGGTACAAATAGTAATCTTCTTTTAATTTTTTAATACTCTTAATATATTATTTTATAAAATAGACATAAATACCCTTAATTTATTACTTAATGAAATATTTTTTTATTATTATTCTTATTTGGGGGGGATGCAACTAGAGTTTTGTCGTTAGAACTTATCGAGATGATTGATTGGTGGACGAAATGAGTTAAATGATATATTAGTAATTGAGAGGTTTTATTTAGTAAAAATATATTTTATAATTTTTTTCTATATGGTGGGATAAAATAAGGGGTTTCCAAATAATACAATAAGGTTAGCCAATATCAATCTTATACTTTTTTAGGAGATATCCCCTTTTCAAATTTACTAAGAGACACCTTCCATAGTTTTATAATTTTTGAAATACCCTTGCTATGACTAAGCAGAGTTTTCTTATCCAAACACTATGGGTCAATCGATAGGGTAAAAAAATTTAATCTCCACGTATAAGATTTATATTATCATTTATATTTTTAAGATAGAATTATAAATTTTTTGATATATTTATCAAAAATACTATAAATTTGTTCCAAAATAGTATAATATTTTAGAGTTGTCCTCCGACCCTAAGCTCATCATCGATCGTTGCCTCCTAACCAATACTCCTTATTGTTGATTGTTGCCCCCTAGGTCATCGACCTCGTTCGTAGCTCTTTTCACTTTGTTATTTGAGGAGACACAAAGGGAGGAGAAGGAGGAGGAGGAGGAGACGAGAGGATATTTATATCAATTTAGAAAATGATAGTTTTAAAATATTTAAAAAATTAAAATATAATTATAAAAAATGATAAATAGGAGATTGTAAATAATAATTTCCTTTATATCAATATCAACATTCGTATCGATTAATCAAGAGACACAAGAACAATACTCTCCTTTTTTAATTAAAGTGGTTATTCGAAGCAAAATTTACTCAACTTGAGTACGGTAGAACGAGAAGGTTGCCACCCTCCTGAACGAGTATATCTTGAACAGTTTTCCTAACAAGAGACGAAAAGAATCGATCATATGCCTGTGTTTTATTTCGTTTTATAACATTTTAAGTTGTTTTGATGGGAGGTTAAAAATTCTTATTCCTGTTCTAACATCTTCTACTTGTGCAGCCAACTTTTGTGCTTTGCACACATTCACATATCGATCTTATCTATTTTCCTTTCCTACTGCTATATTTGATGTGGTGGCTAAAACAATATTTATTAAGCACTTAACATCCATCTTTCCTTTGGTTTTTGTTCATCCTCTCGCTCCGAAGGACTACCGATGACGAGTACATTATTTTGGAGCCTCACCGAGAGACACCGCCGCTTCGATCTCCCTCCAAGCGTCTCTCGCGTCGCCCCTGATCGCCTTCCTCATCCTCGCCATCACATCCTTTGCCTCCTCCACACGCGAACTCTTCGTCAATCCATCCAGCAGTCCTCTCACCGTCTCCAACGGCGGCGGCCATTTCCTCTCCAAACACTCCCTGCAGATCTCCACTGCCTCGTCGAACTCCGCCTTCTCCACCAGACCCTGCAGCAACACAATGTAGGTCTTGAAGTTGGGCGACATTGCACCGCCGTCCGGCCTCTTGACAGCCTTCATTCTCTCGAAAACCTTCATAGCCGAGTCCATGTTTCCTTCCTTGCGGAACCCGTCGATCAAGATGTTGAAGCTGATCCGATCCGGCTGGATTCCGTTTGCTTTCATCTCCTCCAACAACTCCGCCGCCTCTAAGCTGTTGCCTTTCGCACAGAGCGCCGCGATCCTACAATTGTAAGTGCCAGTGTCTGGGCTAAGATTCTTCCGGTTGATCTCCTCGAGAACCTTATCGAATCCGGCGTGGTCGCCTTTCTTTAGATAACCATCCAAGACCGTGTCGTGGCAGATGATGTCGGGCTCGATGCCCCTTTCGGGCATTTCGTCGAGCAAGGAGCGTGCTCTGTCGACTTCGCCGCTAACGCAGAGAGCTTTCAGCAGGACATTGTACGAGGCGACGCCCGGAGTGACGCCGAACTCTCCGGGGGCGCGATCGAAGGCCTCCCGAAGGCGGTCGACGCGGCCATTCTTGAGGAAGGCCGACAGGAGGGCGCAGAGTGATCGCTCGGAGCGCCGGCATCCGAGTCCAGGCATGGCCTCGAAGATGCGGACGGCGTGGTCGAGCATGCCGGCGTCGGCATAGAGGGAGAGCAGGCGGAGGAGGAAGTCCTCCGACTTGGGGGCTTTGGGATCCGACTTAGCGCCCTCGAGGAGGCGCTCGATGAGGTCGGGGCGGCGGTGGCGGGCGAGCTTACGGATCGAGATGTGGTAGATGGGGCGGTCGCTGTAGAAGGAAGGGTGGCGGGCGGCGGCCTCGAAGAGGGCTGCGAGACGGTCCGGGTCGGACTCCAAGCGGACGGCCGACTTAGCGGCAGAGGCGGTGTCAGACGGGGAGGAGCTGGGCTTGGGGTCATCGGCCGAGGTGGTAGTGGAGAGTGGGGAGAGGCGGCAGCGGAAGAGTGGGGATCTGAGCGTTCGACGAAGTGTCGCCGCCATTTTGGCCAAGAACTGGTCACCGTCGAGGAAAGCGCATAAACACGAAGGCTCTCTCCCAGTGATAGGTTTCTCGGCCTCTTCGCGTGTGCCCGCGCGCATATAAAGGAAAACAAAAAACAATAGTATATAAGGATGGCGCCGCCCGGACTCGAACCGGAGACCTTCAGTGTGTTAGACTGACGTGATAACCAACTACACCACGGCACCTTAGTGACGTAGTAACTTAATACAATTATATGATGATGATAACGAGATGCGTCCACGTACTAGCCGCCGTCGAGGGACAACCGTTGGATCAAAGCACGAGCGGGAAGGCGGTGTTGGCACGTGCACGGATCGAGCCCCGCCGGTTCGTGGCTTTACGCCTCTATTTAAACCGGGATCGGGCCGTCGTCTCTCTCACCACATTCATCTCTCTCTTCCACCATTTTTAGACCTCATTTTTGCCTTGTTTAGATCTCTTGACGTGTTGTCAGGTCACGAGATTCTGGACATGTCCTCCACAGGCTTTCTTGAACTGTGAATGCGTGAAGCTGTGTCCTCGGTCGAGAAACCCAGTTCGTCTCTTGATAGTTCAAGAAAGTCCCTGGAGAACATGACAGATCTTTCAGAATTTATGGTGGTTCCGCGTGAGATAAAGCGAGGTTCTTTTGGATTGGTTTATGCGATGGCAGATTGCATGCAGGGGTAAGAACTGATTCGTGCAGTGCATGTTTGAGGAGGAGAAGAGCGACAGGTTTGATCCTTGTTGATAGTTCATGAAAGTCCTGCGATAACATGACAAATCCTTCAAGCATGCATGTTTCTTCTCTCTCATTTTGTTTTCTCTTGTCCAGCGTATGTTGGCGATCAATTGCATGCAGTCAAATTAGTGTGCTTTTCTTGAGTATTACTAGACATGGCTTTTCTGAAAGTTATTTCTTGATTATAATCTGAAGAAGTATGCATGGCATGGAACATAAACAGTAGCTCTTTCTTCTTGTTCTTCGGATGTTAGAATATATCTTGATACATTTTGGACAATTGCTCAAACAGTATAATTAGTCGGATTGACAAAAGGAAAGAGTAGGCAAAGGAAGAGGCATGGCTCTTTTCTCCTTTGAATAAAGCTGATTCTTTTTTCCTTTCTATCGAACTGCTGCCTCAAACAAGCTTCTTTCTTCATGGCTTCATTTGTTACTGTGTAATCTATCATTTCATCTATTTGATTTTGTAAAGCTAGTGGTTCCTTTGGTTCCATTGAATGCCTTTTTCTCCTGCATCGCCAGTGAACAAAGACAAACTGCACTGCACGTTGAATGGGGGCTTCTTCTTTTTGTATCCTTTTAGGTCTTTGACAGTAGAGAAATGAGACACCAAGGAGAAGAGTGGGAGAAAAGAGGAAGACATGCATGTGAGGCCTATCTATCTACCAAAACATTGACATAATGATTGGAGCTCCTGTGATCATGAGCAGAAGAATTGGCTCTGATCCGTGGAGCCCTCAAATTCTGAATTGTGGCATATGTTTGGCAGATGGATCCCTGCAATGCTTCTTCTTCTTCTTCTCGCTTTCTTTCATATGGTTTGGGTAAAAAGAAAAAGAGTGTGTGTGTGAGAGAGAGAGAGAGAGAGGAAGAGAGAGAGAGGGGCAATGGACGCCATGTTCAGTAGTGCATGCAATTGATATCGCTAGGTTTCCCTTTTAGAGGAGGTCACATGATGATGTTGCAACGCAATCATTGTCATCACCATCCAAGTCGATTCAGTAGCACAACTTAAATGGACTCGGGCGAGCCTTTTAGTCCCACATCGATAGATTCGCGTTCCATACTAAGCCTCGGGACTCGGACCGTTTCGCTGAGCTCATTAGCGTTGGTTTGTGACCCGATCGGGGGCCCACCGAGGTGGTTAGGATAGTGGTGTTTGGGCCCTCGGTGGGTTGGAGCGTGGTCCGGCCCATGCCGCCACAGGAATCTTAAACCGGATGGCACCGAGTCAGGCTGGCTTGGATATTTATTGCGACGGAGGTCCATGTGCTCCGATCTCAAAGTCTGAGCTGTCTCCATCACCGTGGAAGAAGATGATGACGAAGACCTGGTTTTGTCATCATGCTTTTGCCCAATTCTTCTGCCCTGTCTTCCAAATCTTTCCACTAATCATGGAATATTATGACAAGCTATCCCCGAAGAACTACTAGAAGAAGATGGATGGACTTTGACTCATTCCTGCTGAGGTTAACCATCCCAGTCTGCTCTCCGATAAATCCAACCCGTAGGAGATCGCCCCCTTCCACCAAAAAAGAGCAGCGGAACGCCATGGATGGGTTGGGCCCCAACGCCGCCAACAGCTGCCCCGTCACGCCGCTCGAGTTCCTCGAGCGCACCGCCACCGTCTACGGCGACTGCCCCTCCCTCGTCTACAACCGCACCGCCTTCACCTGGTCGCAGAACCTCCGCCGCTGCCTCCGCCTCGCCTCCGCCCTCTCCTCCCTCGGCATCTCCCCCGGCGATGTGGTACCGCTGCAACCTCCTCCTCCTGTTTCCATATTACGATCCGTGTCTTTGAAATCCGATCTTTTTTGTTGTCTCTCTTTGCTTCGAGATTCGATCTTGTTCGACCCTGTGGCGTTATCGTTGGATCTTGGTTTAGGTATCGGTGCTCGCCCCCAACGTTCCGGCCATGTACGAGATGCACTTCGGCGTGCCGATGAGCGGCGCCGTCCTCAACACCGTAAACCTCCGCCTCGACGCCCGCACCATCTCCATCCTCCTCCGCCACAGCGCCTCCAAGCTCGTCTTCGTCGACGTCCTCTCCCGCCCCCTCCTCGACGACGTCCTCCGACTCTTCCCCGCCTCCGCCGAGCGCCCTCGGGTCGTCACCATCGAGGATCCCTACGAGGACGCGCCGCCGCCACAGAGCTCCGCCCTCACGTACGAGAAGCTCCTCGAGACGGGGGACCCGGAGTTCCGGTGGGTCCGTCCCCGCAGCGAGTGGGACCCTATGGTCCTTAACTACACATCCGGAACCACCTCCGCCCCCAAGGGGGTGGTTCACTGCCACCGCGGCCTCTTCTTCATCACCATCGACTCCCTCATCGACTGGTCCGTGCCGAGGCGGCCCACCTACCTTTGGACGCTCCCCATGTTCCACGCCAACGGGTGGAGCTACCCCTGGGGCATCGCCGCCGCCGGCGGCGTCAACGTCTGCCTCCGCCGCTTCGACGCCGCCGCCATCTACGCCGCAATCGAGACCCACCGGGTGACCCACATGTGCGGCGCGCCCGTGGTCCTCAACATGCTCGCCAACGCCCCGGACTCCGCCCGTCGCCCGCTCCACGGCCCGGTCCAGGTCCTCACCGCCGGGGCGCCGCCCCCCGCCGCGGTGCTCGATCGCACGGAGGCGCTCGGCTTCGCCGTCAGCCACGGGTACGGCCTGACGGAGACGGCGGGGCTGGCGG